GTTTGTACATAGTTTCTCACAGAAGTTTTAAATGCCCTAAAACCCCTGGAGTAGGACTGTTCTGATGTTTTCTTATTTTATATTACTGCATTTCTGCAGGTAGGGAATCTTGACTGTAGCAATGTGGTGTAGCTTATCTGAAGAAATGCACAGAAAACCTTGCTTAGCTTTGATAGCTGCTTGAAGACCTGCTGTAAATACTTTAGCAAATATCAGCTGGGATTTCGCAAGTTGACAGAAATATGATCATGTTCGAATCATAAAATACCAACAATAATGTGTGTTTTTTTTTTTTCATTCTGAAAAGTTATCCCCGCAAGTTTTTGTTTAACTAATTGGATGACTACTCCAGATGGTCGGAGTATGTCATTTACCCCAGCAACCAATGGGGGGGTGTGCATCCTCCTCTTGTTCTCTCAAAGTTAAAATAACTGTATTCTTTCAAATTAATTGAGGAAGATTAAGTGTGCTGGCCTATTTACTACTTTCTTTAAACATAAACATATACATATATATATTTATTTGGATTTGAATGTTCTTAAAAATAGAGAATAACCAAATGTTTATGTATTAAATTAATCATTTGATCATTTTCAAAATACATTTTATGTAAATCCTTAACCTGGATGAATGCAGTGTTGTTGACAGACTAGATTGCATCCAGCACACCACTGCTGCCAAGATTTTGAGTATTTTATATTTTAATAGAAGTTAAATTCTTCCAACAGAAATCCTTCTGACTTTCTTCTTTAAGTAAGATACTAACCGCTCATCAGACCTTCAACCATAATCTTACTTGAAAACTCTCTGTGGAGTCAATAAAAACACACAATAACATATTACAAATGTTTTGTCTCTGTTTATACAGTCCTGCCTAGTTATGGACCCCTCGCTCCGGCTGTCCTGTGAGGAGCTGTTGGAACTGCCATACTTTCAGGATCAGGGAGGGGCGAACTGGGGCCGAGAAATGGAGCGCCCTGGAAGGAGACATGACAGAGGGTCCCGGCGCAGACAAGCTGGGGTAAAGATGACGCTCAGGCTGCTTCAAATGTCCACCTTAATCCCTATATAGAGCATACCGGTTACACCATTTTATGAGTGTCCGAATGTCTAGTGGATAAAAAAGTAGTGGACTCAAAATGTTCCACAATGCACTTGAAAAGTAGTGTGCAACCATGATTACTAGACAAGCAGATATATCCCAGAATGTTTTGCAAGAGTTATCCTTCCAAAGCATCATGGGATTTTTTGGGGGGTGAGAGAGATCAAAGGTGGCGCAGGCATCATGCAGGGAACCGGTGTGTGACCAACAGGGAGCGAAAAGCAGTGATCATCTGTCAGAACGGTCAGTTAACTGAGTTCACTATAAAGTCCACTATAAAGTCCTCGCTCTGGAGTTATTGAGGGGTTAGAGGTTAGGGCAGGCGGTCGGACACGGCCACTCTGTAACATTCAGTATATCTGAGGGGCTGAGTGCACGTCAGCAGCCATGGAGTTCCTCAGTCTAGTCAAAGCCTCTCTGATGTTATCCATAAAAGATGTCCCTTTCTCTGTGTGCTTCCCTCCCTTTAGGTCCAGTATCTTCCTCAGTTACCTCAGAGTAACATCTCACCTGCCCCAGATGTCAAGAAACTAGTAAAGCATAAATATCACCTGCCCAACATTTAAATACATCAACAATTTTATTTGGAGCCATTGAATTAAACTAATAAAAAATGCAATTGCTTTCCTTGACTATGTGCAATCCCTTTGTTACACCTGATATGTATTTTATCCTGTGTTGTGTTTGATTATATCATTCCAGTTTTATTCGTAAATCTTAGCAGGATAAGACTAAACATACATTTTATTTTGAACTCTTGCTCAATGTGCAGTAAATATGTTTTGTAATTACAAGAATGTATGTTTGTTCGTAATTAACTGCCTACTAGTATGCAACTACATTTCATAATACTGAGTGTAAAGGTTGCTTTAAGTAGTCATGACTAGAAAACCTATACAAATTTAATGCAAGTTTACATGTTTGTTTTGTTTTTTTATACAAACATGAGGTAAATTCACCTGCCATCCCAAAGTTAGAGAACATCTGACATTTTATATCAAACAAACGGTTAATATCTAAATTATATGTCTTCTTGGCACAATCAAGTCAACATCAAGATTAAAAAAAAAAAAAAAAACTTCTCTGAAGTTACAACTGATACACTAAGGTGCTGGTTTTGAACAAGCCTTCAGTTGTCTGGACTGGGATCCCTGCAGTCTGACACAGAGACTGTTGTTCACCAAGAAGACATTGATAAGAATGACGCACAGTTTGACAGGATCTCCTCACCTGGAAGTTATCAAATTACGTCTCATTGTCTTATATCTATGGGTTACTGTCAACCAGCAGGTTTCATGTCCCCAGTTGCTTCTCATGCTTTTATATTCATCTTAGTTGTATTTTTATTAGTTTACAGTGGATTCCAATTCAATAAATATAATATATATAAATATCAATAGTTTATTTGCCCATTCAAAAATACATTTTTGAGCACATTTTTATTAGTTTTGAGTTTTAACAAACAGAGAAAGTGAACATTATGGCATTATCTCTGTATAAAAATAAAAGAGGGTAAAACCTGGCACTGTACTTTGCCACATAGTCATATTGTGTCCTTATTGGTCTAATGCTTTAGTTACATTCCTAGTGATTGTCAAACATTTACATACAAATTTAACACCCAAATAGACAATCAGACTTAACAGCCATGTTGATGGAAAAACAGCATTTTGTCCACTTGTCACAAGTTGAGCCAGTTCTATAGGTAAATATGAGGAGACCAAGTATTAATGAAATATCTCTCATTACCCCAGAGGACTGCACCAATCCTTGCATGGGAAAGGATATTAAATATTCCTCTATACTACTGTCTAACTGTATAAATGGCTTCCTGTCAATCATCCTCAATATACGCTGATCAAGATCTCCTTTCCCATTTCTGTGCAATGTCCCTGGCATCACCAGGGCTAAGAGATTAGAAGAGTGCATAAGGTGTAGAAATACAATGCCTGATCTTTTACTCTCTATATGAGCAGTAACTTTTTTGGATAACCAGAGGATTTATATTTGGAGATGATATAAAAGCTATAGGAAAATATTCACATGAATGCTTAAAAGCCATCAATGATAAATGATTCAATTATTTAAAAAATATATTAAAGAATAGATGTTAACAGACTTCTTGAGGATTAAAAAAATATATTACAAATACCAAATTATATTGGAACCCCCGTTAAAACGACTTAAAAAAAGTGCCAGTCTGGCTAAAGGAATGATCAAATGCATGAACACATAGATACAACTAGAGCGACCTTTGCAACAAATTTCCTGCCGACTTCTGAACAATGTCCAAAAAAAGTAAATGTCTACCCCTCTGCAAACTTCCTGTGCTTTGTGACAACTCACAACCCCTTATGTCTTTCTCTTCCACTATAAGTATCGTAAAATCCTGCCATCTGATAAGAATTTGCAAACCTAGCTGTACTAAAATGAAAAAACAAATATGCTCAGCGCTAAATAGTGAAACATACAGAAATACAGCTTCACTTCTTTTTAAAGGAAGACCATTTTGTATATACTTATATAAAGTGAAAGTCAGTCTTGACAGACTGAACATACATAGTTAAGGGGTATGATCTCAAGTACTGGACATAGTTTAATGAAAATTACTTAAAAATTATGCAAACAAACTTAACATCAGGGTTCCAAGCCCTTTGCAGTCTTTTGTTCTCAATCGTTTCTAAAATAAATTGATTAATCCTTTCAAAAACATAATCTAGAAAATATGGCTCCATTTTGGAAACTCCTCCAGAGCCTCTGGAAAAGATTTTACAATGAAAGCTTCCATCATAAAATACAGAACATCCTAGACAGCCCTGATCATCCTCTTGATCAGACATCTGTATGACAGAGCCTCTTCAGTCAGAAGCTTCTAAAGAACTGCTGTAAGACAGGCTGCTACAGAAGATCCTTCATGTCTACAGCCATCAATGACTCGAGACCTTAAAGAAAACACCTATAAGATACAACATTCAATTTCCCTTTGGGAACAATAAATTATTTCTGAATTGAATTAGATTTTCCCTTAATGGAATGGTACAAGTATGGATTTATTCTAAAATATTAAAAAAGATCACAGTAATATTTCAATTAAATCAGACATTAAAAAAAAGCATAAAAACACACATTTAATACATCAGTCAAAACATTGTCCAACGTTAATGATCAGCTTTGAACATGTTCATCTTTAAAACTTGGCCTTTTTAGGTTTTTAGGTACTTAAAGCGAGTAGTGGAAGAAACTTTCACAAAAGATGTTTGAAAAGACATGATAGAAATATTAAAATGAGGACATGTTTATCTACTTACAGTAACTGCTGGGATAAAAGAGCTCTTAAAGTCGTAGGGAAACGGCATTTCCAATGGTTGCAGTTCTGAATTCTCCCAAGAGATGCCAGACTTTACATGAGTGAATAAAGTGAATGTGATTGCTGAAACCATTGATATATGATTGGCCGAATTTAGGTGTACAAGCTGACGTATAACTAACTGGCCTGCATAAAATAACCAGAAAAAAAGGTTTTAAGGCTTTAAGACAGGTTTTTTTTATTTATATAGAAATTTTCTAACTTTTGGGACAGTATGGTCTGATAAAGAGTACATTTATATATACGTTTAAGCCAGAATGATTTGAAATTTAAATATGGCTTCCCTACAACTTTAAGTGTATTTGTTCTATATAAATCTCCTACATGGAAGGAGGGGCTTAAACTATGTGTGTAGGGGAATGGTGGAGTCCAAGACTTTTTGGCTTTCTCTACTAGTCTATTATAGTATTCAATTATATTCCAATTTTTTTTTTTTTTTCTGATAATGCTTTGCGAGCAATTACGGTTTTATAGATACATCAAATAAAAAAGGAAGAGAGGATCTTTGTTTTGTTGCATCATTTAGCTTTTGTTTTTTATCGAGGTATTGCAATTATATCATAAGAACGAGGCACATTGGCAAAGGTGCTGTATTCTGGAATGAGGTCAATACTGTTGGGACCTCCAGAACAGGAAAAGCGGAAGTCCTGCAGGAGCGTCACCAAGAAGATAAAGAGCTCCATACGAGCCAGAGATTCTCCGACACAGGATCTTTTACCTGTGAACAGACACACATATAAGGATAAAGTGGCTTTTAATTGCATGCTATCTGATTGTTTATAAACTGTGAGGGGACATCTTTACCTGCAGAAAATGGAAAGAATGCTGGGTTTTTCTTAAAGTTGCCATTTTGGTCTAGAAAATGCTGAGGATTGAAGGAGAAGGGAGTGGCCCATTGCTTCTCATCTTTAAGGACTGAGTGCAGCAAGGGTACAATGATAGTTCCCTACAAAGACACAACTTTTTAGAAACAACAGAACAACCAGTATTCATGAAGAGTAAGGTGCTTTAACCTTAAAGGTGCATAGTCACATTATATAAATGTATATGCCAGTAGCTCATTCTAGTAGCATAAAATAGTTTTCTGAAAGTTAACTATTATTTGTTGTTTTTGTGTTTTACCATTGATTTATTGTATGTTGGTATATAAAGCCTTTGGTTTACATTTTCTATACTAGTACTATGCATGATATTTTGGGGGAAACAATGAATTAATGGGTTGAGCAAGTTAGTACCTCCAGGTGGAGTTGTGAAATTAATTAAGAATAGTACAAGATCCAATGTGGAAAAATACTTGGTCAAAGAGGCCTGATAGTGCCTGGAATACAGTCTGGATGTTGGTGTGCAGTGAGGTGGAGCTAAAGCTGCTGAGGTAATCAGATACACTGCAGAGTCGATGGATGAGCGAGTTCACATCCCTATTAATATTGATAGTGATAGCAATGCTACGCCTTGACTTTATAGTCTAAGAACAACCAGCTATATAAATCGATCGAGTTAAATAAACAGAGCTGCACAGATTTGTTTGACAGCTGCTAAAATCCAGAATCTAAATCAGATTTCAAGGCTCATCAACAAATCACCTGCAGGGAAGAACATTTTAATTGATTTAATTTGCATTTATTTGAACAAAAAAGTCTAAGCCCATTAATTTTTTTTTGTATTTATTTAATAAATACATTTTACCCTAATGCTATGTCACTCTTTGCATTTGATAGAAGAATGAATATTCTTTTTCCTTGATGTATTGATGTTCTGACAGGAGGCTCTGGGTAGGATTTACAGGATCTTATAGTTGTTGCATATCATTTTATCTAATTAATGGCTGATTAAATATATTTAATTAATTGGTTGTTCTTCAACGTGGGAGGTTCTAGACAGGGACAAACAGGGGTCAATCCTCCTGTAGAACTGGTCCTGGCCCCTGGTTTTGGCCCTATACTGAAAACGTATACTACAACATTTGAAAAAAATTATTAACTCAATTTTTCTTAAAATGATGAAATTTGAATAATTAAATAAGCATGAATGTATTCACTTGGTATGAGCAGGCAAGTTAGCCAATTTGCCAATGGAATAAGATGTTATGAGGTTTAAAATAAGGAAAATAAAAATCTGCATTAACTTATTTCAAGTG